TGAGTAGTAATCAACCAGCGTCTAAACGCGTGATTTTTATGGTAAACGAGGTAAATATTCCCTATAATGTCTTCAGACATCAAATGCCTAAAACACTTTCCTTATTGAGACGGAATTACACACCGAACCCTCAAAGAAAGCAACACGATTTGGGGCTTTCGACAGCGCATGTGTGTTAACTAGTGGACTAAATATTCCGACAATAAATAGCGTACACACCAGATGCATGCAATAAATGTGGGGACTGATCGCTGTGTACACTTTAAGCATCATTGGAAATGGTGGCTGCCCGTTCAGTGAGCTAATTGTGAACGGTGATTTAAATTAAAACAACGAGTGAATCAAGGCTAACACGGTGAATGTTGCAACCTCGACATCGGATCCCTTCGTGTCTGGAGTGCTCATCAAACCAATCACGTTCAACGGTCCTCTGACGGGTCGAGGAACAGTCTCTTTGGAACTAAAATGTCCTTCAAAACTGTCTCAAAGGTTTTGAGAACACATTAACGCTTGGTAAAATACTATTTTCCGCAAGAATATTTACCATAAATCTGGTTTCCAATTGACCGGGGAATTCTGTAATCGCCCAATGGAATTATTCAAGCTGGATTCGAATTTCTTCGAATCGATAAAAGCAACCTTACAGGTAGTCATTGCAATTCTCCCTAGAATGACCATTTATCTGGATTATAAGGGTACCGTATTGACCAATCTGAAGAGGTTCAGTCTGTTTGGCCACGTCTGCCCACGTTTTGTGGTTCTAGCAATTAATCTGCCTTGGATTTTGCATTCACATGAATACTTCAAACAAATTTTAGAAAAAATTAGAAGCTTGAATCGAAACTGCTTTAGTCAATAAACGCGGCATTACTAGTGGTCACTAGGTATGTTTGGCCATGAATGTTTAAATTTCGCGTTAGTGGAACTTAATCAGCCGTGGATTTTGAAATTTAACTTTTAAACATTCTAGACCTCGCTGAGAACTGGAGAGAAATGTGATAAAGCAACTGGATTCTCCAGCCTTCAATGGAATTTTGTTATAATGTGCCGAAACAGAAGCGCGCAGAACGAACTTACTACCAACCCTTTTTTTCCAGTTTTACTGCAAACTCCCTCGACTGGGTGAACAATCTTACCACCACACGGTCATAAAACGCGTCTACAAACTCCGACCCCTACGGACACGCTACTGAGGCTGCCGTAAGCTTAGTTAATTGAGTTCACGTAACTTGAGCAGAGGGCGATAATCTGTTTACTCTGAAAATTGCCTATACTGCTTCGTGAGAGCAATGCTAAAATGCAGTTGCATAGTTTTTTGCCGGCGGAAAGCTTACTTTAAGTTATTCATAGTTGAAATTGTTTTGGGTAAACAGCTTTGTGAAATCTTGAGCGTCGGCACCAAAGTCTCCTCTCAGACACTGGTCTTCCTCCCAGCCCGCTTTCTCAATTTATTTCACACTATAAATAGGTTTTCAGTGCAGTCCAGAATAAATTGACACGCAGACCTAACGGGAATGCGTTTAGCCAAATGCCCCCTTTGGATAACTTTGTCAAGCTCCGTGCGGGGGTGGTGTCTCAATTTTTTTCCGAATTCACCCACGGCATCCCACTGACACCCACATCTGTGCTAATCCGCTCACATTTATCAAATCAAAGCCAGCCTTGACTTATATAAATGTTGACACGCTGACAGGTCACTCGCCAGTTGGCTGAGACGGTTAAAGCTCTCTGCACGACCTCTGGTCCTGTCTTGCTTTAGCGTGAGATGGGTTGTTCTAGCGTCAGACTGGGGATCTGGTACCGTTTATCTGAGTGGATTTTTCTTGGTTAGGGGCAAACGTAACATTAACGCATTTAAATCCTAATTCTGATTTGGCAAATTCAGTGAACAGCCTCAATTTATTGCCTGGCTACCTCAATTTTACAACTTTTTGTGTCTCGCTAATTGCATTAAAAGGCAATTAACTTGGCGCGATTTCACAGTAATCTCCTGTAAGTATGAAGTATATTGCAAGGCTGAATTAGCAGTTAAAAATTCATTTTTGGCAAACATGGCAGACAAAACCGATATTTGCGATGTGAAATTGCAAAAAAAGAAAACAATTTTTTTCTCTTTTTTTACGGGTGGACGTAGATCAAGAAGGCGGTATTCTTCAAGACTGTTATTCACCAGATTGAGTCTCATTCACGTTTGCACAATCACTCAATGCCACATAGTCACCCCCAACTTCAAAATCCCCCCATCTTGATCCTTCGGGTCAAGGTCACTCACGGCACATATAAAGCATTCGTTCTGACGTGTCACTCGACCATTGGCTAAGACAGAAGTGTCTGAACAAGGTCGCGTGTTTGACCTTGTTCTGGAGTGGAAAGGCGAACTTGAACGAGGGATTAGATTCCTTGAATTCAGAGCTATTCTTTTCAATACATTGATTGGCATCATCGCTGCCTTTAATAAACAGTGTTCCTCAGTTAGATGACCTCGTACGGGCAAATCACACGTCTGTGTTTGGCGATTTCCTGATTTCCCTTAAATCCCTTAGAACACAGTGCAGGTGGAAACGTGAGGAGTTTCATTGTTGAATCTAGGACAGGACAGACGATGTCCGTAGACAACGCTGGGCTCAACCAATCAATTGCTGCAGTGAGAGAGGGGTTCTTTAACACGACAAAGCGTCAGTTTTAATTAGAACACTCGATATTCTACCCCTGAATGAGCATGGCTACTTGGAGTGAATCCAAGGTAAATTCACGTTCGTAGACGTAATGGTTGCCAGTTCCACAATTACGTTAAAAATTGAAGTCTCACAAGGCAAAGCCCTGGTTTGTGCAAAATGGTTTCACCTGTGTCTGTACCGCCTCAATGAATGAAGAAATTTACTTTTATTCGCGCAAAAGTTATAGCTCATCTCCAGTCTCTAAGACTCGTGCAATCGTAAAATGTGTGTGCAATAAAGTTTTCGGCAATAATTTGCACCATTTCGCGTACAGTCGCCTCATTAAAACAGTTTTGGCAGTTAATAAATCCAACAATTCCAGCCACTGGGAAGGAACTGAATGCACCGGCGTAAAAGAACCCCAAGTTTGGCTGACAATTTTTTAAAATCCTTTAGCCAAATTCACTGAATTATGAATTCCAAATGTGCTAGCCAGCTTGCTGCTTTTTTTTGGAATCATAACAAAATTAAACCTGCAATCCAAACTGGCACCTTTTGAATCCTGCGAGTCGAAAGAAAAACAGTGCCTAGGATGCTGGCGACAACATTTTCGTCGTTGGTATTGTCTGAAAATGGCATTTCATAAATATCACTTAGGACTCGGCCCCACATAGGGGCATTTGGACAAAACATCCTAAGCCGAGAGCCTCGTGTTACCTCGCCATGACCTCCAGTCGAAATGTCCGGCTAAAAAGGCCATTAATCACATAAAATCACAAATGTATAAACGGAGAACAGGCAAGCGCTCAAACTGATTGCAGGTACGACTGACGCTCTTGCACGCAATCTTGATCCAATATCTTCAATTAAACTAATCCATATTTATTCGAACGATTTACTTTTAAATGATGGAGACCGTGTAATATTTCGTCTTTGTGTCAAATGCAAACATTACGTTCATGTTCGCTGCTTATCGTATTTGTATCGACCGCTCTCATCCCATTGGCTCACTCACTTTACAATGCATTACGCATGTGAATCGTTGTCAAGGTCATCCAAAGCGTGTGTGATTGGACGACTGCACGTGCTATCTGGGCCCATTACCTGAAACGCTAAAAGCTCTTTCCACGAGGTCATGTCCTGGTCGTGGATTGTAGTTTGCCGTTAAGACATAACATTTCACTGGTAACTTTAGGCAAATAAATTTGGCTTTGTAGAGTAGCCAAATTGTGCTTTGAAATTGTATTGCCAAAACTTCAAAAAAGAGAAATACGTTTAGTGTAATTTTTAACAAAAAGAACCACACAAAGGTGTGTTTTGGAGTAAAACGATGTGATTTACGAAAATAAATTAAGTGTAACCACAGATTTTGTTGTAGATGATGGCAGTACTTTTCTACGACGGGTATTTCATTTTAGCCGAAATTATCTCAGAGAGCTAGAACACGACGGTTTTGCATGGGAGAAAATTTACTCGATTATTGAATGATTAACACTGATTTGTTATTATTAAATCAGAAATCATGTGGCTGTAGAATGGTCTTATTTCTGAGGCGTTGTCACTGGCATGATCGTGTGAACGGGGAAGAGTTGGGAGAACGGTGACAAATGACAATGAAAAGAAATATTTCGTCTTAGGAACAATTTCACTCCCCAAGGGGAATGTATGTGCACCCGTTATGGCGAATGAATCAATAAAATTGGCTGCAGGAGACACGCTAATCCTCCATAATGTGAATCTAGTCAAGTGCAGCAATCCACTTATAACAAGCGCCCTTGTAATCTGTACACCCAAGTTTTAAAATAACGCGCGAGCCATCAACTTAAATTGCCCAGGTACTCCGGTCACCATACTTTCGATTTAAACAAACCGTCTATATTATTTTGTTTATCGTTATTTTACTACGACGTTTTGCAAAAATAAAATATTTCGAATTCAACCTTGTACCATGTTTGCTTTGGAAACAAATGTAGCCTATTTTTACTGACAGCACGTGCCTTCATTATTGAAAAAAAAAATTTCTGAAACTAGGACGGCTTTGGGATTTGATTAGCTTTTGTTATTCGACACAAACAGACTGGCAGACTTGACTGACAAGTTTACTGTTTTGTCAGTATTAATTTGCACAAACCATATCTTCTTTTTTTTTAAAAAAAACCTAATGCTTAAAACAAAGCCTCATTATTGGCACGTTCTAAAAATATGTTTGCAGAGATTAAAAACTTAGGATTTGACCCACTGAGATAAGCAACAGCAACAGTGTGGTAGGGCATAGTGTCGGATAAATTATTATTTCTATGGTAAGAAAATATGACGTTATGTACAGTCTGCCGAGCGAGCCAATCACGGCTCGTCTGCTTTCGCGGTCGGCGTGAGTGTTGGGCCCGTGTGAGCGGAGTCGCACTTGTCTTCACCGCACACCGCGGAAACCGGTGGCGGAGACACAGGCGCACAAAGACTCGACGAGAACACCGTGTCCCTCGCCTCGCCCACATCCGTGCCCCCGTCGATCAGCCTCAAGCGCGCCAGCAGACGTCGGATGAACCGCTGGTAGGCGGAACAGCTGATTATGAGGAGGAGGGGTCCGCTGACCGTGTTGGAGATGCCCAAACACAGCGCGTAGTCTTGCAGTGTCTCAGCGGTGTCGCCGCGCACGTCGAAGATCTTGGTGAGGATATTGCAGAGGTGGTTGGGAAACCAGGAAAGGACAAAGAGGGTTGCCATGAGGACGCAGAGACGAATTAGTCGTTGTCTGCGTCGACGCCACTTGCCACGAATTGTGTGCCCCATTAGACTGAGCATCTGATGCGAGCGGCGCAGTTGCTGAGTTATGATGTGGTGACTGAGGCAGATCACAAATAGTGGAATGAGGTAAATGGTTATGATGAGTGTGAGGTCGTAGGCCATCTTCGCCCGGCTTGACCACGTTTCTCTAAAACGATTGGCAAACGTTGGTTACATTTGCATGAGGCGTTGTTTTACTACGCCAGCTTCGTCGGAACACTATTCAATCTGCCTTCAAGCAGTTAGTATTGTATATTTCCATTATTTTTCACAATATTAACCGCTTAGAATAACACTTACACGTTATTTAACGTTTCACCTTAGTTTGAACCTTTCAGTGCGAGACGTGTTTTTGCAAATCTTGTCTGTTGCTGACTTTTAATTAAGCATTTCTACAAGGTCTGACTTGAGTGGCAATTTTCGAAATTATAATCAAATTTATCAAGCCTATAAAAAGTAATCACTTTCTCTCTTAAATAATCAATTAGGATGGTTTGGGTAAATCAGCTATGAGGAGAGTTAGTCTTCAGAAGCAACAGTCTCTCCAAGCTTAACAGAGTTTTGCGCTACGTTATTTTTTTCGTTTTAGAAGGAGTTCGTAGTTAATAAATTTCGAGTAAATTGTCGTGGAAATAATGAAACTAACAAGGGCTAATCGTGAGACTTGATTGGACGTTGATGTCGAGAGATTTTGCACGAGTCATGCCTTTTGCTCATTGACAGATAAAATCGATAAGTTAGCGAGTTTAGCAGCCAAAGCGTCGAAATTTTCCCGGTTCCGCTGTTAGGAAAACCTCGCGTTTACAGGAACTTCCTAAGGAACAAGGCCTGTTTTGTAAAATTGACTGAGGAGGATCACTGAATGAAATGCCCTGTAATTATCCAATTCCACGTCACTCTTCAGTAAAACAGGAATAACCGAGCAGCAGCAGCTGCTCACACCGGTCATATTCCCGTATCACCATAATTTGATTACACTTCGTGAATTTACGAGAGTTTTTCTGCAGATACAAACCCAGTAAGTGTAGGAAGAGGATACGACAGATTGGCTTAATCGACGTTTAAGATCTGATCGACCATCCCAGTGCGTGTCTGTTGTAAAGGTCTCAGAATGCATTTATAAAAGAATCGTCTTGCAGCATAGCTTTAAATGTGCGTTAACTCATTTAAACTAGCATCATCAGATAGAAGAATGTGCATAATAATTGGGTTGAGAAATCGGTAATTACGGTTTCATTGCATTAATCAAGTAGACGAAAATGACAGGCAGTTGATGGTATGATTAAAGGGAGACATCTACGCAGTCAAAAGTACATCTCTGTGGTATCTATACAAATCTGGCAAAAATATCGCAATCAACCAACTGTTTTCCCTCCCAGTTCCCTACTTACACTGGATTTGGATTCAGAAAATTTACGGCTCATCTATTGGCTGATTCAGTTAGGGCGCTCATAAGGTCACGATCTTTCAATTAAGTCGAGTTCGGCACGTTGTGCTTGTCGTGATTGGCCGAGGTCCATGCGTGTTCACACGGCCATTCAACCTCATCAGACGCATAACCTTAAGTTTTCTGAGCTAAAGAAATCTGCAGCTGAGCAAACTTCTTGTGCCGGTTAAAATAAACGTTTGCTAAGCATAACTTAGAGAAGCCAGTCGGATTGAGTCGGACATGAGTCACCGCGGTTGGATTGCATTTATCACGGAGAGGAAAATTTGACAAGGAGATGCAGGTTAGTAAATAGTGTCTTCCACAACTTCTTTACAACGGTAAACAAGTTGATTGAGGCCTCTGCAATGAATACGTCTTGGTTTGTCAAGGATAAGATTGTAAAGTCCATGGTATTATGGAACGAATTCTCACGCAAGTAGCTGAAGAGTGATGTGAGAGGTCGGAAATCTGATGTAACGTGGGAGGAGAGTCATCTAATGTGGACCACAGTAACTTATTCTCCTCTACCTCATTTAAACTTTGAACACTCCTAGTCAAATGTATTCCAATTTTTGAACCTTAAACTTACTGCAGTATGGATTTTAGCATACGAGAGTGCATTCTAAAAGCAAATTTCGGTGTCGAGCGTGTGATTTTGCTGTTATCTCGATTTAGGGCTTTCAATTTTGTTGGAAAATACTTGTCTAGTTGTCTACTTGTGAGATTGTCAGGTGCCAAAAAGTACTGCAGTTGAACGGGGGCATGTTTGTGCTCTCCGACTCACCAGGCACAAACACACCTTCCATTTGCCAAATTTGTGGAAGGAGTTACCGTCAATCCATCTTTCCCGAGTACAATATTCACTTGACTAATTTAGACTTGTTCCACCCCCAAGCATAATTTAGCAAATCGAGCGAAATGAAATGCACAAGAGTCAGTGTTAAACGTCTGTCAGACCCATCAACTATTCGTGCCAATTTGACAAAAAACGACTACAAAATGTGCAAAAATACCCTGAATCACTCCAAAGCATTGACGCCGAATTAACCAATTTGAGACATTCAACAAGTAAGGTAAGCAAATTAACTCCAAGACAGCAAAACCGTTGGTTCTAGAATATTTGCGGCCCAGTCATTGGCTGATTCAGTTAGGTCACTCATGAGCTCACAATCTTTCAATCAATTAAGTCTAGTCATTACATATATAAAGATATAAGAAAAGCCATATTATACGGCTAGTTCCTTTATTGAGAGCCTACGAACAAGATTTATTAGCTAGATTACGCAAGTCGTTTTGGGATCATAAAGTTAAGCCGATGAGGTTCAGGAAAATGACCATCAATTTACCAGGATTTGTTTAAATCACTGGCCTTTTACTACCATACTCAGGGACTGCATCGACGCCTTTGAAGCAACCAATGAAATTATCGGCTAGGTCTGTGAAGTGTCCAATAAAAAACCACATTCATAAACATTACAGTTTTTGGGAATTGCAAGTATAATACAAATGTTTAATTCGTCATAACTTCAAATAAATTTGAAACCCTCGAATTCCTTGATAATTAAAATGAAAAGAAGAAGACATTTAATCTGGGGTTTCATCGTGAATTTCTAGCCGCTAATTGTTTTTTTTTTGAATTTTAACTATGTGCGCACTTTGTTATAGTCCCGATCTGGCTGAAAAGTTTGTACCAGAACGAATTATTACTAGTTAGGTGTCGCGTTTAAAACTACGCAATTTTTATTGCTTAGCCCAGAGATTAATGTACGAAGACCTACACAAGGAACCTGATTTTCACCACTGTTCGAACAATCACTGATTAAATTGGGAAACGCAGGTGTAAAAAAATCTGAGCAATTTTTTGGCTGTTTGAGGTAAACATGAGTCGAACGATACGATGTAGCTCCTTGTTTCTGGTCTGCGTTTTTGATTGGTTAATTGCAATGGAAAATGGTTGCTGTAGCAGGAGAGTAGGTTTTAGGTGTTCTGAGGTGAAGAAACCCGATTTTACTGAACAGGGGTGTTATGGTAAATATACGGCATGATTTGACTTTGTGAAATCCGAAAGCACGTTTTCCTACGTCGAGTAACTCGTTTGATTGTTGACACTAACTCCAGATGGTCGGAATACACTGAAAAGGGTAGTTAAATGCTCACGTATTGTCTTGGAGTATTGGCTCACACTCCCCAAGTCAAAAATATGTTTATTTAAACGACAACCCATCAAAATTCTGCAAATTTAAACTCCATTTCAGCTTACATAAGTTGGAAAAAGGCTGTTAATCGCTGCAGGTCTTCAGCTACCGAGACAAATCCTATCATCGATTTTTGGCTACAACCCGGGCCGTTACACAGACGCGGTTTTTGTCCAGGCCTTAGAAGCCGAACCAGCTAGACATGGACATCATGCTTAATAAATGGTTGTTCCAGAATTCTCACCCTATAATTTTCTAAGGGTTCCTGAAAATAAAACCATGGCATGCCAAATAGCATGTTTGGGAAATCAAATATGGCAATTCAATGTCATTTGACTACGAAATACGCTGTTTCTCGGGGATATTTCCGTATGATAAGGTAACAGGGAATTCTCAATTTGCAATAACGTGTACTTAAAGGCATACAAATGTCGAACAATGGTAGGTTTGAAAAAAGCTTACAAAAACGGACACACTTATTGCCTGATGGCACTCATTTGTTAAAAAGAATGCATTTACTTTTTAACTTTTTTTTCAGTAAATGCTCCTTCTTACCCAAATACTCACGCAGATGGCCCAGAGCACTGCGAAATTGTTTGAATCAGTCCGACTTAAATTCAGAACCGAAAAAAATCATTTTTTAAGGTAGTTAAAATGCGAGACATAAGGTGGATTTTCATTAGGAGGGTGAAAGTCTACTGAAGCTCGAATGCAGGATCAAAGCGTCACATGACACAACACACACACACAAAAACCATTTGACTGATATGTAAAAATAACAGCGGGAAATTTCCAGTTATTTAAACACACCGAATTTCGGGGATAAAATACGCGCACCTTTAAAGCAAAAAAGTGTTCATCTTACATCGAAAAATTGGCGCAGATGTGAATTCGAGATTGAAGTTTCCTTTTTAGCATTAAAGTAACATTCAGTGGGCTAAAACTTGGTGGCGCCCGTCTTGTTTGGCTAAAATTTGATTTCATCATGGTCGATTAAAATAAGTTTAAATTGATGACAACTTGGACATGATTCATAAACTTTCAAAGCAACAACTTCGGACCTAATTCTTCAAAAAAACCCACATGTGCCTCTTTTTGAAGTGTGATGTTCTTCATACTAGTTGACTACACGACCTGCCGAACATCTTCCATGTAAACATGAAGATTTTGGGCGCATTACAGGCAATATATCAACTCGGTTACACGAGTTCGCCTAGCACTCCAAGTCCAAAACTATCGCAGAAAAACTTTGACCGATGTTGGAAAATTTTTTCCTATTTTTATATTCAATAATTTGCCTGTAAATTTAAATATCCTAAATTAGTCAACTGCGTCAGTCGAATTTCCTGGCAACACACAGAAAATTACCCAGGGCTAAATTAGATAAAACAAAAAACATAATATTTGAATATCCTTTTTTTGGTTTTACTCACCAAGAAGATGAAATCACATTCTTTTTTTCTGTTCCAAAAGATCTACGCCTAATATATTCAGGGGGTTTCATATAATCTTTGCACTTAAAGGCAGCCTTTTGCCGTTGTTTTAAACGGCACGTCAAACCGCCTTAACAAAATGCTTTGAGTAAAACGCGAATGACCGAAATTCGGCTCTTCTGCTTTATAAAATCTGGTTAAAAAGTTACATTTTTTTGCCTTGCAGTAAATTTATTTACATTACTTGTTGAATGTCTTAGATTAGTAAATTCGGCGTTGATATTTTAGAGCAATTTGTAGAATTTTAAGGAATTTCGAAGAAAAATTTTTTTTATTAAATTGGCGAGGCAATTACCCACAATTATCAGCTTTGTAAAAAAAAAGCATTGACTGAAAGATCACTTGTCGGAAACTCACAGACAGATGGGTGGAGCAAGGGCAGCAAAAAGTGGATCCTTGAAGATGTTGCGCGTGACCCTCGAGACGATGGCCGAGGGAAGCGCAATGACGATGGCCAAGACAATGGCGGCTATCAGGAGAACGGAGACCCTGCAATTCACGTTGTGGTCGGTTTCGCCACCCCACCGTCCAGCCCTGGCAATGGCGATGCTTCGATTGAGACAAATCGACACCAGCAGGAAGTTGGTGAGTCCCACAATGAAGTAGATGAGGAAGGAGGCCACGTGGCACATCACTGAACCCAGCTGCCAACTCTTGTAGACACCTGTGTAGGCGGTGTAGGGCACACCGAACCAGACCAATGCCAGGTCACAACAGACGTGCATCATTAGCATTCGCCGATTGGAAATCGACTTGGGATTTCGCACCTTCGTGATGGTGAAAATGAGGAGCAGGTTGAGAAAGGTGCCGAGCAGGAAAATGAGGCAGTACAGCGCCAGCACTATCCGCTTATTGACGTTGTAGTTGAGAGTGTTGATGTAAAAGGAGAACTCCTTTGCTATGATTGCGTACTTCTCTGAGTCGTCAAGGATGTCAGGAATTCCTGTCCTCGTCATCTTTGAATTATTTAAAGTTGAATTAAAGTCCATGTTGTCAGAGCTGGGGTCTGAATTAGTTTTGCATTTGAAGAGAAAATTTTACACTGTGGTGGCGCGACTACGTTTGCTGTCCGTGCCAGCCTTCGCCCGATTTCTGATTGGTTAGAAAATAGATTTAAAACGTCCCATTGGTCAATTCCAGCATCTAGTTCCACTTAACGAATGGGGAACTGACAGGTATTTGGATGTTCAAAAGTCGCAATTCGAAAATCATTACAACTTTTAAACCTCAATAAATATCATCCGATAGCATAAATTTCGCCCTAAATCCGTTAAAATCTTTAAAAGATTGGTAACTGATATTTCAGATACAATTACTGAAAATACTCATTTCTGACTTATTTAGTAAAGATTAAAGGCTACCCTATAAAAGCCAGCCAAAAAAAATTTTAAAAGTCTAAATTATGCTAAAAATGGAGCTGAAATAAAGCAAAAATGCACTTTTTGTTTATTCAAATGTATCCTTTTAGAAGGTTCTACCTAGAATCGAAAACGAGGAGAACATTAGTTTTGCTTGTTGTTTATTGTTTTTTATGCACTTACTTCATGTCCTCAACTAAACCATTAACCGACATGTAACAAAATGTCCACAATTCTCGCATTTAGGCAGTTATTGAGTTTATATTCTGCTATTTAAGTTAAACACCACTGACGCTGTTATTCCGAAAATTGGGTTACTGTTGTTCCCCCCTAACTTGTTCATTTCTATACATGGATTATCTTTTTTTGCGAAAACTATTCAACACTCACGTGTTGAATAGTTTTCGCACCTTCCTGTCAATCCCAGGCACACGCATCGCACACCCCTCATCTGTTCAGGGGTTCTCATAGGTCTGCCAAGGCCACCCACGATCATAAACAAGCCCACAACGAAGAGAAATGGTTCCGCACGAGTTGGTGTTTTTCCTCATATCTGTTTTACTGGACACCCACCGTAGACTTCACACCTTCCACATTACTGCTACCTGGTTCGTTTGTGGGCATGTGATTGGGCAGAACTAATGCGCCGAGTTGCTAAGCCGACTGATATGAGTGTGTGAACTTTAGCTAAGTGGGAGATTATTCACAAATATTTTGTTTTGTTTGGACCACTCATAGCGGCTTCGTTAGCGCCACCTTTCAACCCTGCTAGTTAACAGATCGTAACAACCCGAGAAGAGAGGCAAGATTGATGACAGTGAATATTGCGATTTATTTACATTTGGTCGCCCAAGTCGTTTATACCCTAGTGCTTGAGCGAATATCGACCGTCAAGTGCAATCGATAATCAATGACATTTGATCAACTCTTTTGTACGCTTCGCTTGTTTAACGGTCATTGCAAACATGGTCAATTAATGACACTTCGCATGCCTTCAACGTCAGTCCAAGAAATCATTGAATAAAACCACACTTTGACCAGTTTCAAAAAAACCTTATTTACACCAGCACAAGAAGTGTAACAACCTTGAGGATTCAGATCAAGATGAAGTTAAAAACGAACTCCCAAAATATCGCCTACGGGATTCCTTGTGGTTTTGTGAAAAAGCGCGTTGTCGAGGGCATGACTGATTCCAACCACAAGGCTTGTTGTTTTAAGATTGGCCTTTAAAGCTTCACCACAACACCGCAGTCATCTCAGGTAGTGTAATGAGGGCCAATATTTTTGCTCCTTCACTTCGCGCGTTTGGGTGACGTTGTTAGGCGGTTCGGGTAATGACTCTTGGACGTCCGAAACAGTTGGGGTAGGGAGGAAATGACAAGGTGACAAGGTGCTCTTATTGTGAGAAAGCCTGCTCGTCCAATGAAGTGGAACCAGTGATGTTAAAATAATTATCACCTAGATAAGGGGGGGAATAATTAGAGGGTAACTCGCTGAACCTGCATCATGGCATTTATTCGACGCGGGAAAAGCTCGTGCAGGATTTGTGACAGAAGTAAGCAATTTCGACTGCGCTGATGTTTCCTTTTAACCACAGCATTAACTGTCCTTTATCTAGGTGAGTCGCGAGTAGAAATAACATTCACTATTCCAGTTGGTTATTTGGATTACAGTCGTGCTCTCATGGCAGTTACATCGCGGTTTAATCGGTTTCAAGTTTGTGAATTTTGTCTGCCGTCATTCATACTAGTTAGATTAGCTGTTTAGTGTATAGCGTTGTTTTACACACTACTAAGGTAACATTGTTATACTTCGAAAATCGATAAGTCGGTTCTGGTTATTTTGAAAGAAAGACGCTAAGCAGGTGGTGTTTTCATGACCATTTCTTTACTACTTTTCAGACGAAATAACGATCCTTTTTCGTACAAAGTCATAAACACAGATGAAAAGGGTACGCATATAGGATCAACATCAAAGAAAGAAGCCTGGTGGGTGGACGTGAAAGGTCAGGATGCGTGGCCGAAGCTGATTGGTGCATCCAGCGCAAGTGATGTCATGTGTCAGAAGGATGGATTTCAAAGGAATAACATGGATTAGGGTCTTCTTCCATGTGGTCAAACACTGAGTGGAAAAATGTTTTGTTATCAACGCACCCAACTCAATGTTGAAGTCGAGGCAAAACGTGTGAATTTGTCGAATCGCCATGGCAACACGCTACATCATACGTCGCTTAATAGGCACTGCAAAAACGGCGGAGTTAAAGTGGAGATTCGTCCATCAGCACCCTCCCTTTAATATTTCATTTCGCTTTGTCCCCCACTAATAACAAAAGCATATTATTAAATAATACGCACTTAATGTGCATAAACAAGCGTGTAAACGTCAAACGTATTGTTTCAGATCGGGCACAAACTATTGGACGCAGCCAATCACAAACAAGCGAAATGCATTAAAGTGATCAATAGGATGTCTAACTCACTGAGTCCTTACAAATAAAAATTAAGTAATATTAATGTTGTTTTTTTTTTAAAATCTCGTTTCCACTTTTGACATACTGTCTGAAAAAAATCCCTTAAAACAAGCTTTATTGTTTTGCTATTGAGTTTGACACTCCATCAGTAATTATGACTGGCTTTTCCGTCATAAAATCATTTAAGATTGGAGGCCTATCAGATCATATTTTTACATCCTGGTTAATTTTTCCTACCTCCTGTTGTTATGTCGAAAGGCGTACGAGGGCTCTTTTCACCACCCCTCCCCAGGACACGGTTTTGCTGTTTTTCGTGTCGATAACCTTTCCTCAGTACTACTTTGTGTATTTACCAATTGCGACGCAAATACCCACATCCTAAGCCACTTCAAACGCGCACCGACGTCTTCAGATCCCGAGGGTCCGCACGTTGGCTAGGCCTCACACACACAAACACACTCCCAAGGTCATGCTGATGATCAGCAAAGACGAAGAGTCTGAAACAGCTGAATCAACAGCAAAAGTTACCAAATCATTGATTTTTTTTGTCAAGGAAAGAGAAAGCCTCCAGCAGCACCCTCCGTATTCCCCTGTAGTTGCACCTTTTCATTGTGGTTTTGTGAAAAAGATCTTTGTCCAGGGCATGAATTATTTAAGCTACAAAACGCTGGATCACGTGTGTCGTTTGAGGGTTGGCTTTTGACGATTCAACACAACTGCTTGAAACAACCGATAGCACGCACGCAAGTGCGTCAGAGTAATCGTTGTGGAGTAATGTGAATATAAGTAAAGACTAATTACCTTACTTGCTTTCGTTTTTCCTACTAACGACCAATGCTCGCTCGTTCGTTTGTGAGCATGTGATTGGGCATTAAATGGATTTTGTTAGGCAGAACTAATGACCTTTATTCCTTAATGAAATGTCAATTCAGCTTCAACTTGGGCACAAGCGTTTGTAGTGTTTTTGTTGACTGATGCAGTTGAGTGAATCAGTAAAGATCCAAACGTCTGAACGGTCACATGGATAAAACAGTTAGTGGTGGTACATGCAGAGGGGCAAATGAGCAGGCGTTCCCGCATGGGTGGGGGACACGACGTGGAAAGGGGGCAGGGCGGATGGACGTGAATCAACACGATTCACTCCAGTGCCTGACACTGGGTCAAGGGCTTTGATTGAGAGTGAAGGGAACCCTGTTGAATGGGCGTTTAAAACTTGGGCATCAAAAGAACTTGTGACTCTAATGACCTTAATATATGTGACTGGCCAAGCATATGAGGAAAATATATCTTTGGCTTCGTGTGGTGGCAACCAGCTCCCATATGGGGTCCCAATCTTGTTGTGGGCCCCAGCACGTGGTCTTGAACCAAACCGGGGCTACTGAGTTGGATCTGGCCCGTGATGATGGAAAAGACCGGAGAGGACTTGGACACAGCCGTTTACTTCAGAGCTCAACCACGTTGGTGTCGTTGTGTCGTGTGTGGGGTTTGCGCGTGTGTATTTATACTTCGGATGTATGACCTAACATCGAGACCTAGGCGTGAGGATAGTCAAAGATAAATATTCGTGTGAATGAGGAGTTGGTTGAGGATCCGCGCGGCTGGTGACAGCGCGAAAAGGGGAACCCTGTGTCGGATTTTTGAGGTGATCGGATCAGCAAGTGTGAGCTAACTCGCTTCACAACAATGTCATTTAGGCCAATCAGGATTTGATTAAGACGGCAGCTGACTAGGTAATTTAAACAACAAAGAAGGACATTCTTTGAGCCTTCAAATGTAATGGAATTCCCCTCTCAGAAGTTAGCAGAAAGTGACTTTTTACATCTACCGTATCCCACTAGATCAGTTTTTAAGTCATCTTAGGACACTTAATTCAAAGTAATCACGACAAAAACGCCTTAATCACATGCTTTTAATATTCTTAACTGTTAAAATGATTTACACAAATCAGGCAACGCACAAATGAATTTTAAAACGCCGGACGTTTTTAAGCGGCTGATTCACGAAACATGTTACGCCAACGGTTTTAAAAATTATTACAGTCAAAAATTTATTTACCGTAGCAGAAAGGTTTGTAAACGGATTTAAAAAACCGGTGATAGCATGAAAACCAATCATATTATTTATTTTT